GCTGATGTTGTGCTCAGTTTCATTAGTTCCGATCGTACCTCGGCCTCTATTATGGGTCGGTCTAGGGAATCATTTTCTTTACCTTTGTACGAGCTTAATTGCTCTTTGGTTGTATCCCCAATGTATCTCTGTCTGATTTCTTCAATCAGTTCTTCCTCCGTGCCCTTGTATTTACGGACAAGTCTAATAAAGTTTTGTTGTTGTGCTGTCTTGCTCGCTTCCGAGTCTATCAGACATCTTAACAGGTTCCATGTTTTAGAGAGACTTATTTGTTTTTCCATCGCATCACACTTTTCCTCCCATTGTTGTCTGCATAGTTGCTCCGCGTACTTCTCAATATCTTTACTGAGGGTGGCTATCCTTTTTCTAAGGCGTTTGTTGTGTTTTTGTGTTTTCCACCGTTTTTCTAGGCTCTTTTTTACCTCCCACATATGTAGGAGCTTACTGTCTGTGCTTTCTAGTCCTTCTGTTTTTGGTATGGTCTTAGTTGCAATTTGAATATTTTGCTTAAGGTTCCCTAGCCATTCATCTAAGTCTTCGATGACATCGCATGCTTCCTTCTCTCTGATTTTTCTAAAGCTATCCCATTCAACCATCCTTAATTCTTTGCCTCCTCTTTTACATGGACCTGCTTTAAATGTGGTCTCAATTATATAGTGGTCACTGCCCATATTTTCTTGTGTATTAAGCCAATGAGGTTCGATGATATTCTTAGTAAACGTGAGGTCAGGAGACGTGTCTTTGGATACGCTGTTTCCAATCCTAGTTGGGAAAAGGGGGTCGGTTATTAACGTAAGGCCCTCCTGTTGGGCGTCGATCCAGAGATTTCTACCTTTGATGTTTTCTTTGTCATAACCCCATGCCGGATGCAACGCGTTGAAATCTCCTACTATAACCAATGCTTGATTTTTAGTAATGCTGATCGTTTTTCTCAAAAGTTACCTAAATTTGGTTTTTTGTCTAGGGCGGCTATAGACATTTAATATGAATAGACTTTCACCACTCTTCTGCGATGGAACTAACTCAACAAGAACATGATCGACATCGCAGATTTCTTGATTGATTTGGGGGGGTTTAACGTCCCAAAACCAGCATATGATTATGAGAGACGCCGTAGTGGAGAGCTCCGAAAATTTCGACCACCTGGGGTTCTTTAACGTGCACCCAAATCTGAGCACACGGGCCTACAACATTTCCGCCTCCATCGGAAATGCAGCCGCCGCAGCCGGGATTACATCGCAGATTTCTGTATCATGTTTTATCACCGTGAGATTTCTTCGCACGAGGGTTGTTACGGACGTTTTTCATCAGGGGTACCATAGGATTTGTAATTCGACAATTTAGCCATTCTTCCAGTTTCCTGTAAGGCGATGACGTCTGGTGCCTCCTTTCCGTTTAGGAACTGTTGTAAGTTACCCCGTTTCCGGCGATACCCACGACAGTTCCACTGCCAAATTTTATACTGATTAGATCGTGCCATGTCTAGTCATCCCGTGCGATTCAGATTACTTCGGTCGTAGTCGGCCGGTTGTAGGGTTTAGTAGTAGTTTTAACCGGGCCTTCTCCTATAGACCTCAAATCTGTTTGCGTCTTCTCCACCAGCGTTAGTCGATTTTCCATGCTATCTATTCTTTGTTTTATTTCTACGAGCTGCAGCTGCAATCCTGCGAATTGTTGTTGCATTACCTTAGTAAGTTCTCCGAGCATATTCTCGACTTTCTTTTCCAGGGGTTTTGAGACGTCTTCATTTTCTACAGGAGATATTTCCTCTGCTCTTCGTTTCGCTGCGTGCACTCCTGACTCCTGTGCAGGCGCTGGAGTTAAAATTCGACTACACGATGCTATGGAGCTACTTGACTCGCGCAGCTGATTTTGCCTGAGTTTAGCGTTCTCTTCCTTTAGTTGTTTTATTTCATCCCTCTGTTTCGCGTTTTCACGGGTGAGTTGCTCTAGCATTTTCTTAATATAGTTTAGCTCTTGACCTAGGGTGGACCCTTCTGCCGTAACCTCAGGCAAACTCCCAGACCGGAGAGACTCCCCTGATACCTCGCCCACCCAGCTCCCCATTTGTTGACTGCCCCGACCGCCGCCAGGACCCTCGTGGGACTGTCCTTGAGGTGATGTCGTTGCCCTTGTCTTGGATTTGGCCCGTGACCTGGATCTGTGTTGACGAGTGGACCTTGATCTGGATGTGGATCTGGGTTCGTGTTGAGCCCCTTCTCTTCCCTCTTCGGCGAGTCGCGGGAAGGAGCTGGAACGATCTCTGCGTAGTCCCCCTCTGTCCTTGGTGGCGTTGCCATTCTCCTCCGTTGGATTTTCTGATGAATACCCTTCCCTCCATGCCTGTGTTGCTCTAGTGTTCGACAAAATCTTCATTTCTCTTCGTTCATCGCCTTGTTGTTGTTCCTTTTCCCACCATCTTTTCTTCAAAAGGTACGGGGTCCTAAACCGTTCTTTGCATTTTTTCTCCCCTGTAAGATGACCTTTCCCGCAAAGGCTACACCTAGGGACGCACTGGTGGTTTTCAGTTGGATTGAGCACCCCACAACCACGGCATTTCTTGCTGTCAGGCTGTGGGCAGACATCCGCCCGATGTCCAATTCGACCACAAGTAGTGCATGTTTCATATTGCTTCTTGTATAGGAAGCACCTATATTCGGCACCACGGTAGTATACAAAATACGGCACAAACAACCCTTCGAAAACAATGACCACTGAGTCCGTAAGTCCCATACGTCGTGCATGTAGAATCGTCGGGTTCCTCTGATTGACCAAGCTTTTTTCTATGTCTTCTTGATTATCATACTTCGGTATTCCGTGGATAACCCCTTTGGGTGTGTTTTCTGGTGCTGTTACATAAGCGGCTGTAGCATAGCTCTTGTCATTGATCATAATTTCCTTGATGTTGCTGTATTCCTTCGCATTGGCCAGACTAGGTGTGCTCATGATCATGGTATTTTGTCGCATGTTGATTCTGAGAGTATCTTCCCCAGCGATGTCAGGCTGTACTTTTGCCGCTCGTAGAACACAGTCTCTTATGAGCGCTAGACTCTGTCGCGTCAAGTCCAGACCTCCTCCTGGGCGTATTACAACCTTGTAATCGTCTTCTGGTAGTTGCGGTTCTTTTGGCACTGGCCGGCGATGAAAAAAATCCTTCACTCTCCGAGACGCCTCCATGGACGCACCTCCCGCGTTCGTGGCTGGCTCCGCGTTTCTCTTGTCTTTTGCCTTCTTGCGTCGTTCATGGGCCAGAACCCATCCTTGAGTGTCGTTGTACTCTTCGGGAGACAACGTCGCCCCCGCAACGTCCACAACATCCATTTCGCAGGCTTCGAACAAGCCGGGGGCCTGGCTTGTCGCCTAGTTGCCAGCGCGTCGATGGCACTGCGTCGGCACTGCGATGGCGTAGCTAGGGCGACGCCGTTGTGGGAACTTAAAAGAAGTGTCACGGCTCAAAAAAAGTAGGCCCACCTGGTATATCCTGGCATCGGACGAATCGGGTGATCGTCTGGCGACAGCTGTGATGGTCTTGAATCCCGTGGTTGTCCTTATTCAGCCGCGAAAGTGAAAAACTGGCAGAGCCCATTCGAGAGGCGTCCGAGTGGCTCAGCCCCCTAGCGGCCAACCTATGCATATAGAGCATGCACTTTTTTGATTGATGCAAGGACTACTGGAAATTCTAAGGATTGTTTTATATAAATAGGAGGCTTATTTGAGCATACACTTATCATAATATTCTTTCCCTCTAAATCTGTTGCCACTCATCTGTGTTTCCTTTTGTACTTGCAGTGTAGGCTAGTCCCACATCTATGGCTCATAATGAAATTGTTTCCTTTTAATATTTTTCAGAGTGTATTCCTTTAATATTTTCCAGAATCAGAAGACCTGGAGGTGGAGAGAGGAGGCCGGCAGAGGCTTAGATTTGAAAAAAATAGCATATTCGCCTGACGGTAAAGATGAAGATGACGGTGTCGAGCCAGAGGTACTTGTTTACGTAGTGCTGTATCAATGCTTATGCATTGCAAGACTTTAAACAGCCTCATGATGCGTTTCTTGGTTTTGTGTGCAGCGTCCTGCAAAAAAGCCCTCCGGCCCAAGGCAGGAGTTCTTGGAAATGCTGAAAAATAAATCTGATGACTTGTAGCAAAGACAAGAAGCCGCTTGAAAAAAGCAAAAAAAGAGAACATATGACAATGGGGGAACCCTAGTTGAACTTAAGCTTAAAATACAGAGGCGTGAAGGCCTTCTGGAAAGGCAGGGCAGAAAAATGGAGGAGCTTCGAAATAAAAAGAGTTAGAGCAGGAGGCCATCAAACTGAGGCAGCTAAACATTAGGCAGCAGGAAAACATGCTCACAGCCATAGACGAAGGCAAAGGTAGGGAATTCCGGTTTCTGTAGTTTTGTGCCTTTGTGGGTGCTACATGGACATATTTGTAATTTGTATGTATTAGCGTAGCCAGCATTTTTTGTGGGTTGGCCTATGGGTTTCTGATTTATTTGGACAGTTTCTAGCCTTAATTTTAAGCAAATCATTTGTACGATGTTTTCGTCATGTTTTACGAAGCAATGGTTGCATGTGCAAAACATTGCACAGACCCCACATGTTGCCATTGTCACTTAGAGTGCTCTGTGAAGCTGCTTTGAAAAAAAAGGAAAGTACTGGTACATTTTTAGCTTGGTTCCACAGTTAATATATCGGTGTGTTCTCAAATTGTTGCTTACAAAAACAAAACAAAAAATTAAAAACTTGTGTCAGTACAGTACTTGATTTTGGTATATTTTTTTGTTGGATGTAGCTATATTTTGGATGTGAGCCTTTATATTGAAACTCATCTGCTTTAAATATCTATTGCTGACTATACTGTCTTATTAAAGTGACCAAGTTCTGGTGTTTGTAGTGAGCCGTGCTTCGTGTTGATGCTGGCTATGGTAGAGCTTCGTGCTCACTTAAGAGCGGACGGGACCACTCGACGAGGGAAGTGGATATTGACAACGACAACATGGACGTAATTCCCAAGGAGAAAACATCGCCACCAGATGGACACACAAGAAAAGAGAATGCCATGGTAACGTGCATATCTGACTGCGCATGGCTGATCGTGCAGGTTAGTTTTTATGATACTTCCTTAGGAAAATGTACTAGTTACTATGGATTAGTAGTGCTGCCGTGCCCTCGGCGTTGTTTCTGTATAGTTGCTGATTGTTGGTCTGTGCTACTTCTCGTATTGTGCGGGGACGTAGAGACGAATCCCGGTCCCCAGACCCGGTCCGCTGTTGACCTCAATGAGCATAAAGATGTGTTAAGTGCTATTCTTGAGGAACTGAAAGAGATAAAGACTGCCGCGAACAAGCGCGATGAAAATCTGACCCATATTAGTTCAAACCTTGATGAAGTTCTGGAGCTGTCAAAAGCAAATAAAGAAAAAATTCATACCCTTCAGCACACCGTTGAACAACTAGACAAAACTGTCGCAATTCAAGGCAAGAGGCTTAATGACTATGAAGATAGGTCACGACGGAATAACTTAGTAATCTATGGCATACCAGAAGGCCCAGAAGAAACCAGAGAAGTCCTTGAAGACTTAGTTGTCCGACAGGTTTGCAATGATGAACTAAAAGTCGCTGTCACCTCTCTCGAACGCATTCACCGAATTGGTAAACCCCGAAATGATAAACCCCGGCCAATCATTCTCAGGTTGTACAATTACAACGAAAAAATAGCCATACTAAATAACTGTTTCAAACAAAAAGACAGCGAAGTTTCCGTGTCACATGACTACTCCCAGGCAACACAGCACATAAGAAAAAAACTTTGGCAATCTGTAAGTTCTGATAACAAGGCCGACAATAAGATAAAACTGGTTCATGATAAACTGCATATTAACAACGACATTTATGCGTGGGACGAAGCAAAAGATTGCCGGGTGCTCGTGCGCAAAGGTAAAAAACGAGAACTGAGCACTAAACCGAAAAACACGAAAAAGGTGAACGAATGACTTCCGGATTCTACAAAGCAACAACCGAAAACACTGAGGCTTATTTCCCTTAATGTGCGAAGCTTATGCAACAAACAAGGAGAACTGGAACACGTGTTGTTAACATATGACCCGCACATAGCTGTCATCTCCGAAACCTGGCTTTGTCCAGATTTGCCTGATAATTACGTGATTTCGTCTTCATATACGTGCTATCGCAAAGATAGACTTACACGAGGAGGTGGTGTGGCAATTCTTGTGAAGGCGGGCCTTTCATCTGTTTCACTGCCTGCTGTTAACCCTGACCACGAAAGTGTCTTTTGTAAAATAAATATTTCAGGAAACCATATTGTTATTGCGGGAATTTATAGGCCGCCGGGAGCTCCCTGTGAATTTTTACTTGAACTGTATGATCATTTGGCAGTGTATAAGGATCAGAACATTATTGCTGCGGGAGATTTCAACTTACCGCACATAGATTGGTGCTCGATGTCATCAGGGGGCACTGATACAAAGAACTCCGAAATCCTTCTAGATACTTTATTAGCTTACAACCTTACACAGACAGTACTATATCCAACACGGGTGACTAGCACTGCTTCCTCCATTCTAGATTTAATTTTGTGTTCAGCCAGCTTTACTGATCATACCACAGAAATTCACGAAGGAGTCTCGAACCACAAGCTCGTATATTTTTCCTGCAAGCTTCCAAACCGAATCAAGTTAAACAACGCTAAATTTGTAAATGTAAAAGACTACAACGCAGCAGATAACCCAAACATTGCCCACCATTTAGAAGAAGCATTACTGACATTTCACGATGACGATGTTAACGTCTTATGGGCAAAGTTTAAGTCATGCTGCAATTATTGCATCAATAAGTGTATTCCAGATAAAATGAAAAAAAAATCAACAAAGCCAATCCTTGGATAACCAGAGAAATTATACATTTAAAACGTAAACTAAAACGGTACCGAAAAAAGAAGAACAGGGATGCCGCCCTTCTTTTTAAGCTAAGTTCTAAGTTGAAATCTAAACTACGAGAAGCTAAAGAGCGCTTCTATTCAACCACACTTGGGCGCTTTGCTACCGAATCCCCTCACAAATTCTGGCAATTTTTACCAAACAAGGACTCAAGAAGCGTAGATCAAATAGCTGTTGGTGCTCGCATTGATACAGATAAAAAAGAAATTGCTGAAACGTTTAATTCCTATTTCCAGAGCGTATTCTCAAGGCCAGCCACGCTGGGTAATACGCCTTACGTCAACGATAGCAACCAATATATCCATATTACTGTCGAAGGTTTTACTGAGCTGCTCTTACGATTAGACCCTAAAAAATCCGCAGGACCTGATGACATTCCCACCGCATTTTTCAAAAGATATGCAGAGCTCCTAGCTAGATTCTTGGTACAGTTGTATTCTAAGTCTCTTGAAACTTCTTGCCTCCCACTTGAATGGTTGGTTGCCCGAGTGAAACCAATTTTTAAAAAAAGGCTCTGTCACCGATTATTGTAATTACCAACCCATATCTCTCACTTGCACAGTTTGTAAAGTTCTCGAACACGTAATTGCTAAACACCTAAATGATTTTCTTGACAACAATAATCTTCTTACTAACGTACAGCACGGTTTTCGAAGAGGTTTTTCAACTGCAACTCAATTAGTAGTTACCGTCCATGAGATGGCACAGGTACTTGACGAGGGCGGACAGATTGACGCAGTTCTAATAGACTTCTCGAAAGCGTTCGATAGAGTTCCACATTCGAAACTTATAACAAAAATGAAAAACTTAGGCATTCCATCACAAGTCGTCAAGTGGGTCATCTCATACCTAACTGGCCGCAAACAGTATGTTGAAATTGACGGTGCCTGTTCTCGTTTTCTTGATGTTTTCTCTGGCGTCCCACAGGGTTCGGTCTTGGCACCGATTCTATTTAACATTTATATTAATGATCTTGGCCAAATTGTAAAGCCCCCTCTACGCCTTAAGCTGTTTGCAGACGATTGCATCATATTTAGCCACAAAGTGTCTGCCGCTGACCAGCACGTTCTTAACCATGCTTTGCATGCAATAACGGAATGGTGCAATAAATGGGATATGCTTATAAATCTCGACAAGACAGTTCACATGTGCATCTCCAATAAGAATAAATCTCACTTCATGTATAGTCTTGGCAATTATCAGATTAAACAAGTGGAGGAACATAAGTACCTGGGGTTAACCTTGACGTCCAGACTTAACTGGTCAACACATATAAATAACATATGTTCCTCCGCGAGAAAGAAGTTAGGATTCCTGAAGCGTAAATTAGGAGATGCCCCCTCGTCGCTTAGACTCATTGCATACAAATCCATTGTAAGACCCACCCTGGAATACGGAAGCATTGTATGGGACCCCCATACTATCACTAATAAAGAAAAGCTTGAAAAAATTCAGAGATTGGCAGCTAGCTTTATTTATAAACGTTTTAGACGTCGCGACTCCCCTTCAGCTATGTTGGAGCTCGCACACCTAGAGCCATTGGCCAAACGACGTAAAAGTGCCCGTCTAAACTTTCTACACCAGCTATATTTTAATAAATTGGGAATCCAGTCACAAGATTACATAGCTAATAACCCTAGTCGAGCGTCTCGTCACAAACATAGCCGAAGTATTACACCGTTCTTTGCCCGTGCAGACCAATACAAATATTCGTTTTTTCCCAGAACTGTTTCCAATTGGAATGTTTTGCCAGAGTGTTCACCCTTGCTGTCATCCGATGTATAATGATTGTATACTTACCTGTTGATTATGTACCCTCACAGTCATGTGTCGATCTTGCATCCGTACGCATGTCTTCTGGAATGTGTACATCCCTCTCCTGCTTGGGCCTCTCAAGGTTTGCAGCATTGTACAAATAAATAAATAAATAAATAAATAAATAAATAAATAAATAAATAAATAAATAAATAAATAAATAAATAAATAAATAAATAAATATCTAAAGGGCAGCCTCGACAATTTTTAGTATTACGTACTGATGTCATCATAAGTGAAATTTTCTTTATGCATGCCTAAACAGGAAATGCTGCTTTTTAAATTGATTGTTAAAAAGATTTTTTTGTTGTAATACGTTTCTCTGATGCAGGTGGACATTGGCAGTGGCCTTCAAATAAATTCCAGAGCATGGAAGCACATTCAGGGCCATCAAAAGGATTCTCTTTTTGTGAAGGACCTTCTTCTCGGAATTTGGCCCAAGAAACAACTGAAAAACCGCTCATTGCAAGGTGTGTTGCTGTTATATAGAATTCTTTGTGCTTTTTTTAACAGTGGATCTGTTTATTAAGCCTGCTGTAGTCTATCCATCAGGAAAAAAATATTCAGGTGGGTATGCGCCAAACGAATTGGGAAAGCCCCACTTCGAGTAAAGCAGGAGCAAGTGTTAAATGAAAACTCCGCTTGATGAAGTGGAGCATGTGAAACACGTGAGAGAAATAAGGAAAATAAAGACATTACATGATATAAAGACTAGACAGAGAAAAAGATAGAAAAGCAGAAAGCAAGACAGAAAGAGGAAAAAATAGAGAGAGTGAAAGACAGAAAAATAAAGGAGGTGATGCACAGAGAGAAAAAAAGGGAAGAAAGAGGGAGAAAAAATTGATAGAAAAAGAAATACAATGGGCAACAAGAAAGGCTGCCCAGCTCTACTCTTCCTTCAGGCTTGGCACCACTAGTGCGAAGCTGCCATAAATTTTTAGTGGTGTGAACTAGAAGTTGCAGTGTGTTAATCACTGTTCATTTGTGTATTGCAGAGAAGCGGTGTCCACGATTTCCCGATCGGCCTGCAAAGACTCCGCTGACACCATGGAAAGTAGAAGTGATGCGTGGTAAGTGTTCATGTTTTTTATGATGTTTCGGTGCAGACTGTCTTTGGTCATTCTGCTTCAGACCGCATTCTTAAGACTCTATTTTTGCTTAAAAATTGTTTCTTCTTACCAGTTAGTGAGGCCTGGTTAACTTCTTGTTTTAGACTGTTACAGATGGAGACTGCAGTGCCAGGGCATTCCCGAAAACCTTGTGCCTGCTGCAGTCGAGCAGCTGAACCACTTCGTGGTTGAGAAGCTGGCGGGCCTTGAGAGGCTCGGAAAATGGTGAGGTGCTGTTGTAAATCTGTTTGACTAACTTTGGGAAAGTTCTACGTATGTAGTTTTTAAATAACATGCAGCCTGGTAAAGAAAGTGTTTAAAGCATCATACTGACCGAATTCCACGCCAGTGCATTTGCGAACATCCATGCGAAGTATACGTGTGAGATCATGTGGAGAAAGCTAGCCTTGAGCTCGCAGCACATCAAGTTAACACTGTATTACCAACGCAAATTCTAGACTCACCTCCTAATGTTTGAAGCCAGAAAAAACAAAATGCAAATATTACATCAAATGTAGGCCGAGCAGGAAAAAGAAAGTTTACAGTATTCACAAAACTCTAACAGAATATACAGTCAAACCCTGATATATAGTCAAACCCAGATATATAGTCAAACCCAGAGACACGGGCGCTGCAATCGTTGTGACGTGCAGGGTTGGATCACGTGACTCACGTTGCTCTGGTGAAAGGAAGCGGGCGGTTGAAGACATTGCTTTTAACCACGATATCTGTTTTCCGCTTTGAACAAGATTTTGTTCTTACTTCATGTGTGCGGACACCTAAACTTCACAATCTGGGAAAGTGCAGTCAGAATTATCGGCAGCATGGCACTTTATACTGCTCCGCACGTCACAGTGCGAGTCTACTGTCCGCTTTCACTTTTACCGTTACCCTGATTTGAAAGAGCGTGATACCACTGTCACCTCACAATCCTTAATTGTTATATCCAGCTCATGGGGTTCTTTGTTTATAGAGGATGTCTGTAGAATGAACCCATCCAGTGTGGAAGTGTTACATCAATTGCATAAAGAAATTCTGATATATAATATGCAAAACGGCTGCTGTTCATGTTCATTGTTCTACATCTGTGCCTAGGCTCGCACAATGCGTGCAACCTGCACGTCAACTGAAGGCTGAATTAGCTAAACTTGTTCCAAAACCGAAACTCTGGCTATGTCACCCAGGTGACCAAACAAAGCTAATTTTCAGTCTTTGAGCCACTAATAGTGGCGTGTGAAAATTGGCGTACAGTGGTTGAGCTGCCTATGCAGTTTATTTTTCCTGCTTCAAAAGCCACTTCTATCACTGCATTATAGCCACAGAGAACTTGTTCGTTTATTATGGTGTAACTACAATATAATTTACATACTTTGTGTGTAAGTCTGTAGGAATATCTTTTTTTCTTCTTTTTTTTTGCAGCAAGTGTAGCCCTCTCTCCGCCATCTGTTACAGCCAGAACACAGATACATTTATAGTGTGCTTCAAGGGCAGCATCACAATATTGTTGCATCCTGTGTATATGTAACATTAGTGACGTGAACTTGTAACTTCCATGTACTTATGTATTTTTCATCACTTTCAGGGAAAAGACGCAGGAAATTCCTGAATAAGTGCAGCAAGGTGAAAAATAGGCAGTACCTGAATTTTGGCTAGTCTTTTACAATACTTGGTTTTGCTTCTTTATGGCTACTCAAACTTTTACACTACTTGCAAAGTAATAAATTATGTTAAAACAAGTACCTCCATTGTATGGTTTTTATTTAATGTGTGTACATTGCACATCATTCAGAAACAAGCATACAAGACCGTTTTGTTCAGGATCAACATTTCTTTTGTCGAATTCGCAAGCATTTTTGCTTCAACAATCTGGTGTACTCTTTGCACATGTTTTCCAGCCAAACACCAGTTTTAGATAGAAGAATATTCGGGTCAAACTAGACCGCCAGTTCTGCACTAGTGTACTTCAAATGGTTGACGAGTTGCACACCACCTAGCTCTAACTGGATGACCATGTGAGTTCAACTGGCTAACCAAATGGCTCTAACTGAGTGACAATGTGTTTTCAACTGGTTAACCAGTTGGCTTTAACTGGATCACTATATATGTTAAACTGGCTAACCAATTGGGCACCAGTCAGCTTCAACTGGATGACCATATGTTTTCAACGGGCTAACCATTTGAACACCCATTCACATTGACTGGTTGACCAGTTGGACACCAATATGTTTAGTTAGATGACCATATGTTTTGAACTGGCTAACCGATTGGGCACCAGTTGGCTTTAACTGGATGACCATATGTTTTCAATTGGTTAAGCATTTGGACACCAATTCACATTGACTGATTGTCTAGGTGTACACCAGTCAGCTATAATTGGTTGACCATATGTGTTCAATAGGTTGACCAATTGGGCGCCAGTTGGATTCAATTACGTTCAGTTCAATACAACTGGAAAACCAATTGGCCACCGGCACTGCTCAAATGGTTTGCCAATTGGACGTAAACTGGTCTACCAATTGGATATAATTGGTGCACTCCCAACTGGTGGCGAAATTCCAATTGGTCGAAAACCAATCGGTGGCAATTGGTATTTTCCAATTGGACCCATTGATTTTTTTTGACTGGGATTTGTCTTTACATGCCAACAAGGTGAAACAAGAACGGACAAAATCAGCAGCTCGCGATGGCGTTGAGCACGCTTTTTGCCACTGACAAGATGGCGGCGGCCGGCTTCACTCGCACAGCGCCCTTCCACTCCAGCAAGTTTTATGTATCCTCCTTGGTTCTACTACTATCCTCTTCACGACATTACAGTGTTGCTGCCTTACTCGCGAACCTTTCTAAATTAAAGCACGCAATCATGCATTAACATGCGCCATACTAAACATAAAAACAGTGCGCCGGTACATGAGATCACGAAGCGCGGTCCACGCTATCACAAGAGCAATTAGAAGAATGAAACAAAGAAAGCAAAAATGTATAAAATATTTCGGCTCAATCCGATCCGGAATCCAGTCTTTTGCAGCGGCTTTTGGCTCTGTATGAACGGCCAAGCCAGCGCCAAGTCAAGCTCTCGTCTCTGATCAGCTGTTTGTTTCCAACGAGCATTCAAAGCCCAGTGAACTGGCAATTTGTTTAGATGATATTGCTAAAGGGCTTGAAATTGCATATTTCTCTACGTACTACTGTTGTACTTTTCCTCTCTGTTTCCTGATCACAGTGATGAAATTGAGGAGGTTACAATTTCGAAAACAGCAAGTGCAGCTCAAGCATTGGGCAAGGCTCCTTCTGGCGTTACATAAGTCGGTTGCAAGACTTTAGGGTGGTTGTTGCCAGACTGCCGCTAAATTTGGCTAAAAATTTTTTCCTGTAGTTGTGGTTTTTCCGTAAGAGTTCGGTGCCATCAGCGGTGCATTTGGTGAGTGCATGAGTGACGCTGGCCGTTTTTAATAGCGGAATGAACCGAGCCTAGCAGAAGTCGAGCGCGGCGCTGCTGTGCAATTAGGAGGGCAATTTGATTAACGGAATAAAACGTGCCTAGCAGAAGTGGAGCGTGGCGCTGCTGTGCAATTAAGAGGCCGTTTTAATTAACAAAATGAACCGCGCCTAGCAGAAGTCGGGGCACGTTCTCTTGCTGTGTGCGCAGCTGTGCAATTAAGATATCGCGTCTCAGCATTAGGAATGACGGGGAAAACTGAATAGAGTCGCAGGAGGTGATGCGCTGTACCCCTCCCCCTTACTTTTTTTTCTCTCAGCTGATCGTGTCGCGTGGACCCAACACGTTCGGACTCGTATATACATGTGATGAATAAGCGTTCCAAGGCTGGTTAATCGGGGTACGTCGGATATGCTACAGCTATGTACGCCTGGAAGGCTGCTTTATCAAACCGCGCTCGACTTCTGCTAGGCGCGGTACATTCCGTTAATTAAAACGGCCTCTTAATTGCACGGCGGTGCCACGCTCGACTACTGCTAGGCGCGGTTCATTCCGTTAATTAAAAGGGCCAGCGTCGCTCGTTCGCGAAATGCACCGCGGATGGCACCAAATTCTCACGGAAAAGCCAGAACTACAGAAAAAAATTTTGCAGACAAATTTAGCGGCAGTCTGGCAACACTGACCCTTCCAGTCTGGCAATCACTTATGCAACGCCAAAAAAAGGAGCGTTGCCCGAGCACCCATTAGAGATTTACGGTGCCGCGTTTGAGAGAGTTAAATAAAACTGCAATATTACGAAAGCAAGGCTCTGAAGCAACATCGCATTTTATCAGGCCTACAGCTCTCACACCTAGACGAGTAAAACTCGTTGATATTATCTTGCAAAGCTGTGTATAATATTTAAAACACATTCTTTAGCCAATGATGAATTGTTCTCTCGTGTGGCTTCTCCATATCGTGCTGTCATGTTAACTTACAAAGGCGAATTTCCATACTTATTCTCTTTAGATGTTGCAAAAACTTGAAACGTGGAGTGTATGCCATATTAATAATTCTCCTCGTAACTTGGGTCCGCCTCTTTAAACAGCGCCGCATTTTATTGCTCGCAATCGTGTTTGTCTTATACTGTAAGCCAGCAGTGTGATTTCATCAATATTCACGAGTGTTCCCTTACTATACAAACACGTACGGCTTATTTGGTGCGGTGCACGTATGTAGCAAAAATGTCATTTCGTCAGCTAGCGTATGTATGCATACACTTGCATGCCCTGCAGTACGTGTGCATAAATAATGCAGTAAGGACGGCAATGCATAGCCTTGCATGAGACATATATTCTATGCATTGTTATGAGCCTACTGTTTATCATTACAATTTTTAGGGGCGAAGCTCCTTAGGGCGTGGGCTGTGCGTCCCCTGTAGCCTGTATGTAGCCACCTCTAGTTTAGTTCTTGCAGTGTTCACTAGATGGCGGTACCGTCCCCTCTATGTAGCCACCTCTAGTTTAGTTCTTGCAGTGTTCACTAGATGGCGGTACCGTCTCCTGTGTGTAGTTCAGGCTGTCAAGGTGGATGGACGTGTTTTTTGAGCGCTCCGGATCGACTGCGCAGATAAGTGTTTTTGCATGTTTTGAGCTTGTCTTTATAATTATAAGGCAGCGGTTGAAATCTTCGTAGCACTTATTTTATGGTACGGTTTTTTCGGGGGCCAGCCACCAGGTATTTATTAGTTAGTGTGGGTGTGTGTTTGAATTTTTTTGTTGCGGTTTTTTTGTTGCTGTTTTTTTGCCACCCCGTGGGAGAGGTGCGCGTACATTGAACACGCCAATTTTTGTAGTAGAGCTTAGACTTTCTCTTTTTTTTCTCGTAGTGCAGGGCTCGAGTTTAGTCATTATCGAGTATAGGGACAATTGGTGTCAGAAAAGCATGGTTAAAAAGACCGTAAAGTGTTCAGGATGTGGAGTGGGTTTGAAAGTGGACCCAAGCGTAGAAGCGGATAGAGAAGAGGCTGACGCGAAGTGTAGGCAATGTGAGGTCATGGAAAAAATGGAGAAAATGATGGTTGCCCAGAGTGAACTGCTGATGAGAATCGCCGAGCTCGAGTCTGCGTTGGTGACAGAGCAAGAGAAAACGAGGGCAATGGGAAAAAGACTGAAGTCCGCCGAGGAAGCGCTAGCGAAGCTGAACAAAGAAGCGACCTACCGAGAGAACAGTAGGTAACCGGCAACCAGAACGGTGGAGAAGGAAAAGCAAGCAAGCTTGGAAAAAACAGGTTTAGCCGGTTCAACTGTTGCAAGGCCCAGCTTCAGCGAGGTAGTGGTGGGGCAGGGAGGGAACAAAGCAGCCGGCGTCACAGGTGCAAGTAGCCCCCACGTGCAGAACGCTCCACCGGAAAAGTCACAGCATGTGATAATCGCCGGAGACTCAAATTTAAATCGATGCACAGAAGCCATCAAAGAGAGGGTAAGAGGTGACAAGAGGGTTGCAGTAGGGGCGTTCCCAGGACGCAAGCTGGAAGCAGTCATGAAGCAAGTGAGCGCAAAGCTCATAACGACAGCTGATAGACGAAACCTCGCGATAATTTGAGGCGGTTTAAATGATGTCCTAAATGAAGATGCAGCAGGACTAGCAGCCACACTGGCGAAAGGCGTCGATGACATGCGCGCCACTTCTCCTAAGGTGCAGGTAGTGATATGCACGATACCGGAGGTACCGGTGCGTGATAACAACCTGCAAAGAGCGGTGGTCAACGCAAACCAAGAGATATGGCGGATGAGTCGAGAGAAAGGCTTTGAGGTGGTTGAAATAAACAGAGAGGTGCATAGGTGGGGGGTTTTCAACAAGACAGAATTCACTTCGACGGGCGGCTAGGTCATGAGGTGGGTTGGCGACTTGCAGGACGCGCAGTAGCTTTTTTGGGGGGCAAGCGAGCCCTTCGGGGTACAGGATAGCTAGTAACGGGGAAAACAACCAGGGAGACTCTTCGACAGGTAGTATGGAAAGATACGATTCCAAAGTGGCACCAATGTCTAAGATAGGTAGAGTCCGGGGCATAAATAGACGTAGCCACGAGCGTCGAGCCAATTCAGACATAGGGTATATTAACATGCAGGGTGGTAGGAACAGGCTGAAGTGGGAAGAGATAAAAGAACAGCTAAGGGCAGAGAGGCCGATGGT